GAGCTGGTCAATGAATTGGGTACAAATAAACATCCGAGTGAATGAAGATTTAGATATATGAAAATTCACATATTTGCACTGCGGTGGAAAGATGAAATTAGAAGATCCTCGCAGCTAAGAACACTACTGAAACTAGTAGTTGTAAGTAGGACCTGAAAAAAATTTCAGGCCCGTACGGGATTTGAACCCATGACCTCTGCGATACCGGTGCAGCGCTCTACCAATTGAGCTAACAAGCCAACTGGGGGCTGGTCAATGAATTGGGTACAAATAAACATCCGAGTGAATGAAGATTTAGATATATGAAAATTCACATATTTGCACTGCGGTGGAAAGATGAAATTAGAAGATCCTCGCAGCTAAGAACACTACTGAAACTAGTAGTTGTAAGTAGGACCTGAAAAAAATTTCAGGCCCGTACGGGATTTGAACCCATGACCTCTGCGATACCGGTGCAGCGCTCTACCAATTGAGCTAACAAGCCAACTGGGAGCTGGTCAATGAATTGGGTACAAATAAACATCCGAGTGAATGAAGATTTAGATATATGAAAATTCACATATTTGCACTGCGGTGGAAAGATGAAATTAGAAGATCCTCGCAGCTAAGAACACTACTGAAACTAGTAGTTGTAAGTAGGACCTGAAAAAAAATTTCAGGCCCGTACGGGATTTGAACCCATGACCTCTGCGATACCGGTGCAGCGCTCTACCAATTGAGCTAACAAGCCAACTGGGAGCTGGTCAATGAATTGGGTACAAATAAACATCCGAGTGAATGAAGATTTAGATATATGAAAATTCACATATTTGCACTGCGGTGGAAAGATGAAATTAGAAGATCCTCGCAGCTAAGAACACTACTGAAACTAGTAGTTGTAAGTAGGACCTGAAAAAAATTTCAGGCCCGTACGGGATTTGAACCCATGACCTCTGCGATACCGGTGCAGCGCTCTACCAATTGAGCTAACAAGCCAACTGGGAGCTGGTCAATGAATTGGGTACAAATAAACATCCGAGTGAATGAAGATTTAGATATATGAAAATTCACATATTTGCACTGCGGTGGAAAGATGAAATTAGAAGATCCTCGCAGCTAAGAACCTATTGAGCAAAATTCAGTTTGACTGAAAAGTGTTGAAGTTTTGAGGAGTTAATCTTTTCTTGGAATGAATTCGTTGCCATGGCAACATTAATGATTGAAACCCGATTTTGCTCAATAGGTTTGTAGTGCTTTGTAAGTAGATCCATGATGCTTAAAACCAGCCCAATTGGATGTATTTTGAGCTTTGAATTTGAGGGGACAGAAGAATAGTTTAAAATGATAGAGTTTTTGTTTTTGTTTATTATTTACTAGGAATAAACAAACCTGGTCAACTTTACTTGTTGGCTGGTAGGTAGGGTCATGTACTTGCCTCCTGCCAATTTTCAGCAGTTTACTATTAATGATTATGATTCTGTGACTGTTCTAGTTATGACCTTCTTTACTGTTGGATTTCAACCAGAGGGCCCCCTTATTAATTAAGAGACTAAAATTATCAGAAGTAGACAAAGCAGAAAAGCGTAAAGCTTCTAAAAGAACATATATACCAAAGAAACGTGCACAAACTGTTAACCCTAAGAGACTAAAATTATCAGAAGTAGACAAAGTAGAAAAGCGTAAAGCTTCTAAAAGAGAATGTATACGAAAGAAACGTGCACAAGCTGTTAACCCTAAAAGACTAAAATTATCAGAAGTAGACAAAGCAGAAAAGCGTAAAAGCTTTTAAGAGAATGTATACAAAAGAAACGTGCACAAGCTGTTAACCCTAAGAGACTAAAATTATCAGAAGTAGACAGAGTAGAAAAGCGTAAAGCTTCTAAAAGAGAACATATGCTAAAGAAACGACAAAATATGCAAAAAATGAATATACAGAAGAATGCCAACAGTTGCGGTGCTGTATTGCCAAGCTGTGGTGAAAATTATGCAAATTCTTACAAATCCATGGTAGCCAAGTTTCATAAGAATATAAGTTGCGGTCCTGAGTACATATGTACCTGCTGTGATCAACTGTGGTACAGAACATCAGTAAGAAAATGCAATACAAGTAATAATAATACTGACAATTACTACTAATTATTATTACTAATTATTATTACTAATACTGACAATACTGAATGGATTTGTAATACTTGTCATTTAAATGTAAAAGAGGGTAAGTTACCTCAGTCTTCAAAGGCAAATGGCATGAGTTTCCCCAATAAACCATCAGTGCTTGATTTGACCCCATTAGAGGAAAGGCTGATATCACCACGAATTCCATTTATGCAAATTCCTGAACTTCCAAGAGGCGGTCAGCTGTCTATTCATGGAAATGTAGTAAATGTACCTAGTGATGTTAATTCAACTGTGCACACCCTTCCTAGACTTGTCAGTGAGTCAGACTATCCCAATAAAACTCAAGCGGAAACTAACCTATAAGCATCAATATCAATTTCAGAATGTGAGACCAAAAAAAGTATTAGAGGCAGCTAAATATCTTGTTAGTACTAGTGAGTTGTTTAAAAGTGAAGGTATAGAGGTTCACAATGCATGGCAAAACACTGTCACCACAGAGGCTGAAGAAAATGATGAATGGGACCAGTGTCTCAATAATGATAATATTAAAAAAGATTCTGACAAAAACACTCAAACTATTGAAAATAATAATGACAAGGAAAATGCAAGTTCTATAAATTCTGAAACTATTGACAATGATGATGATAATTGGTGTGAAGTTGATGAACGTCCTTCAGGAGTGACAGACACTTTATTACAAGAACCAGAAATAGCAGAGAATGGTGATAACATTATAAGTTTTGCACCAGGAGAGGGAAATAAACCTTTGGGCATATTTATGGATAAAGATTCAGAATTTTTATCATTTCCCACAATATTCTGTGGAAAACGTAGGGCAGATAACAAAAAAAGGAAGGTTCCTGTTTCATATAGCACAATAGCTAAGTGGGAATTGAGATGTCAAGACAGAAGAGCAGCACAATCAGTCCATAATTTGTTTTATAAGCTTAAAAAGCTACAAATCAAGCAAATTCAAGACACTGCTAGCATTTCTCTTCGAAAATGTAAAACAAAAGGCAAGAAGTACACTGCTGGTGACTTAAATTCAGAGGATTATGTTAATAAGCTGATACATCTTGATGAAGGTTTTAGAGTACTAAAAAATCTAAGAGGAAGCCCAGCATATTTTCAAAAATGCAAAAAAGATTTGTTTCCTATGATCTGTCAGCTTGGCAACCCTACATGGTTCTGTTCTTTCTCAGCTGCAGAAACAAGATGGACTCATTTGCTCAAAACTCTTTGCAGAATTCTTGAAAAAAAGGAATATTCTGATGATGAAATTAACAACATGACTTAGGAACAAAAATCAAACCTTATCCAGAGAGACCCTATAACATGTGCATGAAATTTTGAGCATATGGTCCAGCTATTTATACATGATGTTCTCAGAAATGATGTTATGCCAGTAGGACAAATAACTGACTATTTTTACAGAGTTGAGTTTCAGCAAAGAGGAAGTCCTCATATTCATGGTCTATTCTGGGTGAAAGGTGCACCTCAATATGGAAAAAGTTCTGAGGAAGAAATTGTCAGTTTCATTGATAAATATGTCACTTGTCAAAAAGCTCGTGTAAAAACCATCCCTCGACCCAGGCTGCCTCATCAACATTAGTTATTTTGCGCTCTGCATGCTAATTTATAATTCAGTCTGCGAGTCACATTGTTCGAGTTAGTTATCAGTTGTCCGTTGTCAGTCAAGTTTCGCTTCTACGGCCCTTATCCCGTCACGTCTGGTACGTTCTTTATTCTAGTTGTGTTTGCTTATTAGTTTATGCTTCCTTGTGTTCAATTCCCCAAGTAATTTTATTTTATTCATCTATTTAGAAACCACATTGGCAATTATGTAACTATGGTGAGACATAAAATCGAAGTGAAAACCTATTGCTGGTGTGCGTCGTCTATAGTTTCAGACAAGTGGATTGCGTTTCTAGCTTGGATTACGCCTCTATTCTGTGGAATCATGTCAGATGATCTTTGTTGGAAGGATTCGTCCACCAAGTTCGCAAATAGACATCGAAGCTGTACGGCGTGAAAGAATCCAGTCCCTAAAGAATTCACGTGCTGGTCACCTTGGACACTTGAATAGACTGTATAAGGAGATCGAATCACTAATGCAAAACGTCAAAAACATTGGCGAAGCCTGCGAAAGGAAGGAAAATTTAGATATTGCATTTGCAAGATGTTTACAGTCTTACGATGATTATTATCAGTATGTTGAAGACATAGAGATGAAAAAGGAAGCTCTAGATGCCTGCCATAGCATTATCACCAGGAAGAAAGAATTTGACGAGCATTTCGTGGAATGGTCCAAGTCAGTTCAGGAAATCGCAAATGGAAATTCCATTAACTCTCAGCAAGAGGATGATGCTGGCGACAAAACACATGGCGTTACACGTCCTGTTGTCAGCAAAGGCAGTGAAAAGTCAAAGAGTTCTAAGTCGTCTTCACGCGCGAGCGAAAGATCGCAAAAGGCCAAAGCTGAACTTCTTCGTCGCGAAGTTGAATTGAAAAACCTTTTGAAGCGCCAAGAAATGGAACACCAAATGGAGCGGCAGTTAGGCAAAATGAAATCGCAAGAAGAAGAACTGAAACATCGGATTGCCGTTTTAGTCCCAGATGGAGAAATTGAAAAGGCTAAAGTTGTTGATGATCTCTTCAAGGCATCCGAAAGTTCTAAGCATAGTATCAAGTCAGAGTTAAAGCTGGTGAACACAGAGGAAGCATCTCACTCTTATCCTACTACGAGACATGCTGAATTGTACACCAAATGCGACCCCAAAAACATTGGCACAAATTATCTGAAACCAGTGCTGGATTTGAAAACTCGATCCTGGGACCCAGGTCCCTCTCACAGCCGCAGCAGTGGTGAAAACCTGGCAGTTTTGCAACAGTTATAGCAAATGATGAAGCAGCAACAAGAGGCTCTGCAAGTAATGGCTGTCTCGATTCAACAAGGAATTGAAATGCCCAAAAAAGAGGTGTTAACCTTTGATGGTAATCCTCTAAACTACTGGTTGTTCGTGAACAACTTCAAGGTCAATATCGCCAAGAGAGTACCTGATGCCGAGTTGAGGCTTGCGTACCTTATACAACATTGTTCTGGAAAGGCTAGAGAGGCCATTATGAACTATGCCATAATTTCCGATCCAAACGCAGGATACAGGAAAGCCCAGGAGATCTTGTATCATCGATTTGGACAGAAACACATTGTTGCGCATGCGCACATCGCAAAGATAGTGGAAGGTCCTCAGCTTAAAGGTATGGACGTCACTGGTTTGTCAGATCTGCCTGTTCAGATGCAGAATTGTGCGCTGACCCTTGTCCAAATGGGTTACAAGGCAGATGTAAATGGCTCAGACAATCTCATAAAGGTGATGAAACGCCTCCCTGTTCATTTACAGTCCAAATGGGCAGACAGAGCTGGCTCATTAACCCAAGCTGGAGTAGAACCTAATTTCTGGCATCTAGCCGAGTTTGTTGAAGAGAAAGCTTTGTTGGCAAACACTATGTACGGAAGAGCGGTTGGTTCCATACCAGACTAGGATCAAAGTACAAAGTCATCTAAAGTTAAGCCTCCAGTCACGAAAGGTGGTGTCTTTACAACGCAGTCCGAGATGGTCGTAGGCGGTCCTCCTGCAAATGCAACTCCTCCCATTGTCAATTGCCCGTTGTGCTCTGGTCAACATAGATTGTCGAAGTGCGAGTTCATGAAAGCAAAGAGTCCTGAAGAAAGGAAGAGCTTTGTTAGGCAAGTGAGACTGTGTGACAACTGTTTCGCGGGCGGTCATGTGGCAATGGATTGCAGAAGTAAAATGAAACGACGGAGACTAGGGAGAGCGTCACAGAATGTAGACGTGTGTTGCGAGGCTCCGTAAACCGGACAATTTTACTACCGTTTGAACGTCCATGGAAAAATTATTCATCACTCCAAAACGGAAAAGTAGCTATCGCAGTGATTCGGAGCCGTCACCAGAAGATAAAAGACTGAAAGAGTCAAATTCTCCGGCTAAGATATCGTGTGACGAAGACGAGGTCATGGAAGCACTCGGATCCAAAATAGATTTAGTGTTATCGAAGCTTTCTAACCTGGAAACAAAAATGGAAGAACTGAATGCAGCAGTCAAAGGTCTACAAAGCAAGGTAACGTCTTTGGAGAGAGAAATAGATTCAGTGAAAACGAAGCAGAAAACCTTAGACGAATACTTCACTTCAATGGAACAAAATTCTGTATTCGTTGACGAGCAAGTACAAGACCTGATAGCTAAGACTAATAAAAACAATGACGACGTCAGCGATACACGTAGAAAACTGTTATACTTGGAGGCCTACAGTCGACGCGAAAACTTGAAATTTGAAGGCATCCCCGAAACTTTCGCTTCGAGCGAAGAAGATGGAGCTATTCAGCGGGGCGACATGTCTACTGAAAATACAAAAGCGGTGCTGACTGATTTCTTTGAAAGAGTCCTGGGAATAGAAGATGCAAAGAACATCGAATTTCAACGAGTAAACCGAATGGGCAAGCCAAGAAAGGAAAATGGAAGAGAAAGGATCATTATTGCACGTTTCTTAAGATTTTCAGACCGAGAACGGGTGCTCAAATGCGGACGTAAACTCAAGGAAACAGGATACAAGATGTATGAAGACCTCCCGAAAGAAACCCACGAGATGCAAAAGCTCCAAATGGAGAAGTTAAAGAATGCCAGGAAGGACGGTAAACGTGCTTATTTTAGTAGATCGGAGCCCGACAAACTTTACGTCAACGGTAAATACGTCAAAATGTAAAATGTAATAAGTTTATTTGGGTTAACGTTGCTATCATGATCATTCTTTTTCTCTAGAAAATGCTAATTTAAGAAGCAGTAGAAAATTCCTGCCATTTTTGTCACTTTCTACTTTATCCGTTATGCATATTCTTTCTCACACCTCATGGGCACTACCAGTTTGATTTTTTTTTTCACATTCCGGTGAAAGGGTTTCGGGTGGAATGATGTACTAGGCGTTTGTTCGTGCTCGTAAACAGTTCTTCTGGAGCAAGAGGTATGTGGGATTGGTTAACTTATTTTCGCCCTCAGTCTTCGTTTTCATTCTCGTTTTTGTTTTATGTTCATGTAGTTTTATCGCAGTCTGTTAGATACCAATTTATTTCATTCAAACCGCACTCGATTTTTACACCGGGCTCATTTTCATATTTTAAGAATGTAATATCTATCAACTTACTCTTATGAATAACGTTTGCTTTAATGTTCTATCCTTGAATGTTAGAGGAATTCGTGATCTCAACAAACGCAAATCCATCTTTACATGGGCTAGGAACCAGAAAGCGGATATTATTTTTTTGCAAGAGACATATAGTACGCCAGATGTTTTTGATAGTTGGAAATTTCAGTGGCTGGGAGATATGTATTATTCGCACGGATCCAATCATAGCAAAGGCGTTCTGGTGTTAATACGTGAGACCCTTCAATTTGAGTTGAAGTCGGTCAAGAAAGATAGCCAGGGCAGATTCGTCATCGTTGAAGCGTTAGTTCAAGATTCTCCCGTTTTGTTGATCAATATTTATGCTCCTAACAATACCCATGATGCTGTTGACTTCTATGAAAACCTTAGGACTACTTTACTTGAGAGTGACTATGACCAGGACTACAGGTTTATTATGGGAGGTGATTTTAATGTGCCATTAAGTCTTCAACTCGATAGCTATGGAAGTAAAACAGAAAAAAAAGACGTGGTAACCAAAATCCGCGAGCTAGTGTTAGACTTTAACCTGGTAGATATATGGAGACTAAGGAACCCGGACAAAAAGCGTTACACGTGGAAACAAAATAAGCCTTTAGTCCAACGTCGGTTAGACTACTGGCTAATAAGCGATGATTTTCAAGATGACGTGGACAGCACAGGTATAATTTCTGCCATTAAAACAGACCACGCTGCTATTGTGCTCCAGGTTAACAGTGTTGAAATGCAACCAACTGGGCCGTCATATTGGAAATTTAACTCTAGCCTGTTAGAAGATCCAGAATATATCAATCTTATAAAAGACAACGTTCCCTCGTGGCTAGTAGAATTTAATGAAGTGTTAGACAAAGGTCTTCTGTGGGATTTAATTAAATACAAAATAAGACAAGTAACAATGAAATATAGCAAAACAAAGGCAAAAGAAAGGAGAAGTCGTCTTTGCGAAATCGAGAATAAATTGAAAGAATGCCAAGAGATTTTTTACTCTAATCCGACAGAAAATAACGCTGTACAGCTGGAAAGGATCAAATCTGAGTACAACTCACTGTATGATTATGTTATTCAAGGTAATGTTATTCGTTCTAGAGCCAATTGGTATGAACATGGTGAGAAAAATAACAAATATTTCTTAAATTTAGAAAGTAGAAAGATGAGCAACTCTTGCGTCCGTAAACTTTTTGATAAAGGCGGTAAATTAATAACTAATCCCAAATCAATTTCATCAGAATTGTATGACTTCTATACTGAATTGTACTCTAACCGCGACCCACCCAATCATAACAATGTTAGCGATGCGTTTCTTGACCAATGTCGTTTGCCAACTTTAAACGAAGATGCCAAACAAATTTGTGAAGGGGTTCTTACAAAGGCAGAGTGTTTTAAAGCTCTACAAACGTTTAAAAACGGAAAATCCCCAGGTAACGATGGCCTGACAGCAGAATTTTATCAAGTATTTTGGCCCACCTTAGGACATTTGTTACTTGACTCTCTAAACAGTTCCTATGGAAAAGGCGAATTGGCAAACTCCCAAAAACAAGGAATTATAAAACTTATTGAGAAGAAAAACAAGGATAAAAGATATGTTGCGAATTGGAGACCCATTTCTCTGTTAAACGTGGATGTTAAGATTGCGTCCAAAGCTATATCATTAAGACTCGAGAAAGTTCTTTCCGACTTAATTAGTGCTGAACAGTGCGCATATGTGAAAGGAAGGAACATCTTTGATGCAGTACGAACTATAGGGGATATTATGGACTATACAAAGTTATACAATCTCCCCGGTCTCATGGTGACCATTGACTTCGAGAAAGCGTTTGACTCCTTAAGTTGGAACTTCCTTTTTAAGACCTTGGAAAAGTTCAATTTTGGAGAATCCTTTATTAGGTGGATACGTCTTTTCTATACTAATATATCCAGCTGCATTATGAATAATGGTGTAGCAACTCCTCTTTTTTCAATCGGAAGAGGGGTTAGACAGGGTGACCCTCTCTCGCCCTATTTATTTATTTTAGCCTTGGAAACCCTCCTTACCGCTATCAAACAGACTCGAGATATAAAAGGTATAGTAGTAGAAAACAAAGAAATCAAATGTATCACTCTCGCCGATGACTTAACAAACTTTTTACGCGATAAGGAATCTTATGACTCTCTTAGTTCCTTATTGAACACATATGGTGAATGTTCAGGGCTTAAACTAAATAAGGACAAAAAAGAAGCCTACTGGTTAGGAAGTTCCTATCGAAATCACGAAGCTCTCGATATTAATAAGGTGAATGAGCCAATTAAAATACTAGGTATATTTTTCACTTATGATCAGCGTAAAAGCAGAGAGCTTAACTTTGACCTTACTTTAAAGTCAATAAAAAAGTCCTTAAGTTGCTGGCAATGGAGAAACTTAACATTAATTGGTAAAATTCAATTAGTCAAAACATTTGCTATGCCTAAGTTTATGTATCGGGCCTCCTTTATCTCTTTTGATAAGGATATAATTAAAAGCATAAATTCTGTGATATTCAATTTCGTGTGGAGAGGCAAAGACAAAGTCAAAAGACTAGCCTTAATTAGTGAATACGAAGACAGTGGCCTCAAAATGCCTCACCCTGAATCTTTAATTAAAACTCAAAGAATTGTGTGTCTGGCAAGGTATTTAGATGATAATAGTAGTCCGTGGAAAGTTTTCTTGTCTCATTATCTTAAGAATGTAGGAACCAGTTTTCTGCTTCAGTGCAATTTCAATCCATCGCGCCTACCCTGTAAACTACCTTCTTTTTATAAAGAATGTCTTGAAGTTTTGTCTGACTTTAATGGCAATCACGATATAATAGCTACAAAACAGGACGTTTTAAATGTGACTATCTGGAACAACCAGAACCTCTTGATTAACAAGAAATCAATATACAACAAGAGAATAAAAGAAGCAGGTTTTGTGAAACTTGGAGATATTCTCTCAAATGACTCAAAATTAAAAAGGTGGGACGCTTTTAGAGAGAAAAATCTCTCCTTGTCAGATTACTTACTACTACAAGGCATTTTTTCCGCCATTCCGCCTAACTGGAAACAGCTCCTTAACGTTGGAGAGAATAATAACAACCGAATTGACAAAACTGTTTCAGACGATGTTCAAGATATAACTAGAATGACTTCAAAATCAATCTATTCCACCCTGGTCAAACGAATCCAGATTTCTCCGACTGCCCAATCTAAGTTTAATTCCGTATACAATATTTCAGGTAATATAGACTGGAAAAATATTTATCTATTGCCGGGTCGAGTCACTCTTGACACCAGAACGAGAGCCTTTCAATACAGCTGTACTTACACTAAAAACTTTTGGCTTTCGGTTATTTCTTGGTTAAATACTTACAATATGAAAATTGATAAGCTTGATGAGGTAACAATCCTCTTTGGTATTTCCGATAATATCCCTGGGAATTATTTGTTAAATCACATAATCATTCTTGGAAAATATACCATTTATTCATGTCGTTGTAAAAATATCAAGCCATCTGTATCCTTACTGAAGGCTAAAACATCTGAAACTCGGAAATTTGAATTTTTGATTGCAAAAAAGAATAAAAAAGAATCTATTCATTATAAAAAATGGGAAAACATGTTATTGTAACTCAATAGATGAGTATCGGGTATTAACAGTTATAGACGCAGTTGTATATACAGTCGTTCTACCAAAAAAGGAATTTGATGTAGAAGTATTTGTACAAATTAGGTTTATATTATTATATAACCACAACATAAATTAAATCTAGCCGACTGTGAATGTAATGTAACGCAGTATTTCGTAATTAGTGTTAGAGAGTAGCGTAAGCGTTAGTGTAATTAACTTTGTATTTGTTTGTATTATTCTAGTATTTGTGCTTTAAGTGAAAATAAATAAAAAAAAAAAAGAAGTAAAATGAGATGCCAAGTGAATGGCTGCAGATGGAAACATCACACAATGTTGCATGTTAGCAAGAAGAAGTACGACAGTGGTAGCTCTCCTGTCGACCCACCAGCTACCTCGGGAGAGACTGGTACGAGTACTGCCAGTGGACCTAGTGAGACTAGAACGAGTACCGTCAGCGGGGCCAGGGAAACTGGTCAGTGTACTGCTACTGGTTCTGGAAAGAACAGTGTGTGTTTAAGAATAGTTCCAGTCATCGTGAGAGGAAAGGGTGCACTCGATCAGATCATGACAAATGCTTTACTTGACCCTGGGTCGGACGTGACATGTGAGCCTTATGGATAAACTCCAGCTAGTGGGTCAACCCAAGCAGTTTTCGTTGGCAACTGTTAATGGCGAGTCAGACTCCCAGAAGGGTTTAAGTTGTCTTTGTGTGTCCGCAGGTTGCAGATGGACGAGGAAATTGCACTGGATAAAGTCTGGATGGTTGATACTTTGCATCTTTCTCAAGGCAGTCCACCAGCTGAAGAAGACAGAGCTCAATGGCCTCATCTGAATGGAATACACTTCCCGAGGATAGAATCTGATACGGTGTCGGTCCTCATCGGCAGTGATGTTCCAGAAGCTTACTGGGTGTACGATCAGAGGTGCGGTAGGCGTGGCCAACCTTATGCCGTGTGTACTCCCCTTGGATGGACCTTGATGGGACCATTGAACTTGTGCAAAAGGAACTCCTTCAGTGTCAACTTTGTACGCTGCGACAACGAAACACTTCATTGGCAGATGGAGACCATGTTTAAAAGTGATTTCAACGAGCCAATGATGTCCACAAAGGTCGCGATGTCAGTTGAAGATCGAAGAGCATTAACCCAAATGGAAAGTTCTGTGAAACTCGTGAATGGCCATTATCAGCTGGGTTTGCCTTGGAAGTTCAAGTCAGTAAGCCTCCCAAACAACCGTGACTTTGCAATGGGAAGATTGCGCCATCTGAAGAAGCGTTTCCAACACGATCCTCACAAGTTAAGCGTTATGGGTGCTTGTTCACGTGCCTGACCATGAGAGCGGTGCATATCAAAGTTGCTCACACGTTAGAAGCAGATTCCTTCACCTGTGCGTACCAGCGTTTCATAAGCCATTGAGGGAAGCCCAAAGAGATATACAGCGACAATGGCACCAACTTTACTGGCGCTGAGGAAGAACTCAGAGAAGCACTTGAGCGATTAGACCAAAGTAAGGTCTATAGTCGACTAAGGACAGATGATGTCCAGTGGTCATTTAACCCTCCCTAGGCTAGCTATCAAGGTGGCATCTGGGAACGTATAATTCGTTCTGTGCGTAAGATTCTCGGCGCTTTGTTAAAAGAGTAGCTGGTTAATGATGAAACCTTGTCGATTCTACTGTGCGAAGTGGAGAAGATGCTCAAGGATGGGCCCTTGACTCCCGTCAGTGATCACCCAGATGATCCAGAGACGCTGAAGCCCAGTAAACTTCTGCTTCTTAAGTCTAGCAAATTCATTCTGGAAGAGATGGATGAAAGAATATTTACCTACCCTTCAGTCAAGGCAAAAATGGACCTCTCAGTGTCGTAACTTCGCCGTTGGTGATCTGGTTCTCGTTGTCGATGAGAAGTCGCCGAGAGGTCACTGGCCGATGGGATTGATTGAGGAAGTGTTCCCGGACAGCCATGGCCACCTACGTCATGTTAAAGTGAGAACGGCCACATCAGTCTACACACGGGACATCAGGAAGCTGTGTCTCCTCAAAGGAGTCCAGAATTTATGACACTATGAACTCTGTGAATGAGCTGTCATGAATTCCATGACTATGAAATTATTATGAACTGCGTAATTTATGGTATTTAGGTATAGGTTTGGTTTTTTTATTAGAATAAGGCTAGTAGCCCTTATTCAGGGCTGGTGTAAAAACCATCCCTCGACCCAGGCTGCCTCGTCAACATTAGTTCTTTCGTGCTCTGCATGCTAATTTATAATTCAGTCTGCGAGTCACATTGTTCGAGTTAGTTATCACTTGTCCGTTATCAGTCAAGTTTTGCAGTCAAGTTTCGCTTCTACGGCCCTTATCCCGTCACGTCTGGTACGTTCTTTATTTTAGTTGTGTTTGCTTATTAGTTAATGTTTCCTTGTGTTCGATTTCCCTGAGTAATTTTATTTTATTCATCTATTTAGAAACCACATTGGCAATTACGTAACTATGGTGAGACATTAAATCGAAGTGAAAACCTATTGCTGGTGTGCGTCGTCTATAGCTCGTACTAGTGAGATGGAAGAACTTGTCAATCTACAACTGCATGGACATGCTTAGACTTGTAAGAAAATGGGACAGAAAGTATGCAGATTTAACTTTCCCTTGCCGCCAATGCAACAAACTGTTATTTTAACACCACTTGAAGAATATGACACTTTTGACAGTGAGAAGCAAAAAAACATCAAAGAAAATGCAAAGAAAGTTAAAGATGAACTTGAATGTATAAAATTTGGTGAAGATATAACTTTTGTTATATACTAGTTACATACTAGCCTTAAGGCACGCAATAAAGCGCAGCACTCTATTTTTGAAGAGACTGCCATCAGAAATAAGGATAAATAATTACAACACACAATTGCTGAAAGCATGGAGGGCAAACATGGATATGCAATATGTCCTAGACCCTTATGCCTGTGCAACTTATATTTTATCTTACATCACAAAAGGGCAGAGAGGCATGAGCAGGCTTCTGGAAGAAGCTACAGAAGAAGTTAAGTCAGGCAACAGAGATATCACTCAAAAAGTGAGGCACATTGGAAACAAATTTCTGAATGCTGTAGAAATAAGTACTCAAGAGGCGGCATACTTGGTATTACAAATGCCAATGAGAAGATCTACACGTGACTTTCAGTTCATTAATACCTCCCATCCTGATGAAAGGACATTCCTGTTAAAGAAATTAGACAAGATCAAGGAGCTACCAGATAACTCATGTGATATAGAATCTGATAACATCATTAAGCGCTACCAAAGACGACCAAAACAGCTAGAAAACATTTGTTTGGCTGATTTTGTTGCCTGGTTCAATTGTGTAAAGGATAATGAGTCGGACACTGTTTATGGTGATAAGTTTGATATAGGCTCTAACGACTTTATGCCAGAAGCTTTTTATGATGTCAACACCAATGATGATGACCCTTATAATATGGATGAACAACAAAGTGAACAACAGGAGCTCAAAATGAAGGGTGGTATGAAACTTGTTAAGAGAACAAAACCTAAAATTATTAGATCTGTCCGATTCCATATAAGCAAAGATCCTGAAAATCATCACAGAGAGCAGCTTATGCTTTATTCTCCTTGTCGTACTGAGAACACAGATTTGCTAAGAGGTTGTGAAACGTATCAAGAACGATTTAATCAGCTCAATGAACTAGTTCTCTGTAACAGACAAAGCTATGAATATCACAGTGAAATATTAGATAAAGCTATGGAGGATTTAGACAATGACCATTTGGAAAATATGATCTATGACAGTGTTGCTCCAAATGCACAACATATTAATGAGCAAGACGGTGCAACAAAGCAAAAACCAAGTGAATTGTTTGGTTGCTTTGATCCAGGGAATAACAAACAACATAGCCAATATGACTTGCATGACGACATAGGCATTTTCCCTAGAAGTGATGACCAAGAGGAGCTTCTTGTAAAACGCATTTCAAATGACGAATATCGTAAGCTTGTTCGCTCATTGAATGAAAAACAAAGACAGTTCTTTTATCATGTATTACATTCAGTAAAAACCAGCGATGACCCTCTCAGACTTTTCTTGTCAGGTGGTGCTGGTGTTGGCAAATCCACTGTTACAAATGAACTGTATGAAGCACTGATAAGGTATCTAAATAGCATAGCAGGTGAAAACCCCGATGAGATCAATGTGATTAAAGCAGCTCCAACAGGAAAAGCAGCAGTCAACATCAAAGGAAATACATTGCATGCAGCCTTTAAAATACCTGCCAATAAGGGATTTGAATATTGTACACTTGATAGTGACAGACTTAACACAATAAGAACAAAATTAAGAAAACTAAAAGTTCTATTCATTGACTACAGGGTGGAAAACTCTAGCAGACCTAGTATTATATGGGTATTATTTCCAGATACTGACATAGGTAAAAAGCAGCGCAGAGAAAATATGCATTTATACAACACCAAAACCATTATAAGTAGGACATGGACACCAATTCTGGAAGTAACAAGGCAATTCAGAATAAATCAGAAAAGTCAAGTACAGATTCTTTGCAGACAGTTTCCATTAAGACCAGCAAGTGCAAAAACAATTCACCGTTGTCAAGGTGACACTCTAAATGCTGCAGTTGTTGATTTCCCACGCTCCACACAAGAGTACATGCACTATGTAGGTTTAAGTCGAGTCCGAAACAGTTCTAGTCTACACATCATCAACTTAAATTAGCATAAAATTAGGGTAAGTGAAAAGGTTGTGAATGAGATGAATAGACTAAGGACTGAAGCGAACCTTGTACCTTAAGTGGCAATAAAAACTGAAAATGACTCTTACAATTGTATTTCAAAATGTTAGATCCTTACATCTTCACATTGATGATGTGCGAAGTGACTACAACATTCAAAAAGCTGACGTGAACATTTTTGTTGAAACTAGACTTTGTACATTGGACAAAGATGATGTCTATAACATCAATGGTTTTACACCATACAGAAATGACTACAATCAATCCCCAACTAGAAGTTGCTATGGGTCAGCTTTCTATGTTACGACCAATTTTGACTGTACAGAAATCCCTCACAGATTTAACTTCAATGGAGTAGAAATTACAATAATGGTTATTGATCATTTAATTCCAAACCTGCATGTAATTGGTATTTACAGATCCAGTTCAAATGTAAGTTTGGCAAAGTTTATTGATGCTCTAAATTATCTTCATGACTCAAAATTAAAAACTCCTGACACCCCAGTTGTACTCCTTGGTGATTTTAATGTCAACTTGCTAGAAAAGGCATCTGAGCAAAAAGTACTAACAAGATATTTAGTTGAAGAAAGAGGTTATACACAGCTCATTAAGCAGTACATTACAGACTATCGCTCACTAATAGATCACATCTACACTAACATTCCACATTTTGTCAAGTCTTCAGGTGTCCTAGAGTCATACTACAGTGATAATAAACCATTCTTTATTTCATTAAAAACTGAGTAAGAATATTTATTTTCAAAATAATGACCCCTGTAGTATCATACATAATATTTGGAAATATTTACCATGTGAAATAAAAATGTTCAGGTTAATTTATCATCATTTTGCAATACACAGCATTACCATATTGCATATATACACACATACCAGTAGTCTTACCATATTGCATACATAAACACAGACAAATTCACCAAAACCACCATCAAACAAGACAGGGAGCCCTACAGGATGGTATCCCTGTCTTAAGTTTGCTGGGCCCCTGAGCACACAAGGCAGGTAAGTTTTAAATATATCCAACCTAAAGCACTAAGGGGGTTGTATAGGCTTTAGATGCAATTTCACATAAAAATTATTTATCAAACAATAACATTAAATTGTCTCTTAATTTGTAGAACAACTACAGTAATGAGGAAGGAAAATACACAACACAGAGATGTATTCAACACAAAAAGACAAAGACATCTGTGGAATACAGCTAAGCAATAACTGATGCCTTTATACTGGTATAATTCAAGCCATTTTCAAGAGCTAAAGATGATATCAGCCTCTGGGACATGTGCTGTTTGTAGAATGAAATAAGAGTGCTTGCCCACGGCCATGGATGTCCACTTTTGATTTCAGGAAACTGCAAGGAGAAATTTTACTATCAAATTATTTGACAACACTCTTAGTTCAATACTGTAAATTTCAAATAATATCAGCATCTATACATTGATGCAGACTTCTCATTTCAGGATATTGCAAAAACGAATTTTACTGTTATGAGATCATAATTCCTTGACCAATACTGCCCCCTTTAAAGGAACAGAACTTGTTGCCTTCAATTGTTTTCATCATGATGAGTGATGTGTAATTAGCAAAACTACTATGAAGAATTTGAATGTTATAATATGTTATAGTGACGATGAAGACTCATCTGACTCAAAATATGTATGCCTTAACTTAACGGACAACCATTATTCCCAACTTCTACACAGACAGTGTTAGATTATAATTTTTCTACAACCTGCCTTTAGTGTGCATCTGTTACAATTAAATTAAATTATAATTTGACCCAGAAATAATGTAAATAGAAATAAATATGTCAGGAATTATTTGGTGGTTATTTGCCTCCAGTTATCAGAGAAAGCATAGAAAAATGTTTTAATTGTGCCTTTCAAAAACATGCAACCTCATGCAAACTCTGGTCCCTCCTGCTTTCCTTCCCAAGCCCAAGGGAAAATGAGTTTTCAAGTTACAATTCATTTTCCTGCATGACAACAAAGGCTTTTGTCTTCAGTACTTGAATAGGGGACAATTGAATCAAAACACGTGAGAATAAACGAACAATGCCAATAAATAAAACGCAGGAATAAATACAAGGAGTTCAAAAACCAAATTATTATTACCCAGGCCCATGCTATGTTTTACTAAACAGAGTAATATTGACACAAACAATATTTAAGAATTAGAAATCATTTTCCATGTTTGAGAACCTGTTAGGCTAAACTTTGACAGTCCCCCCTCCCGTCTACATAAGAACCCCTTTAGCCTAAATTAGAAAAGGGTTTTTATTTTGTAAAATCATTTTAAAATGTTTACTTTTTGCGCAGTACATTTACCTAATAATGTTATGTTCTGAATAAGGACTTCAAGTTTGTGTAATTAGTGCTTCAGTAGTTTTCTATTCTATTTAATAAGCAACAATGTTTATTTTTATTCAAAAAATAATGCATCCATTTTCTTTACACGCAACATCTCGCGAAACTCGCACTTTAGTCACCCGCGCGCGACTAAAATCTTTTCGACCCCCCTCATGTAAAGTGTGCGCGCATATCACGTGCTCAACTCTGCGTCCTGTCCTTCTTTCATCTTGTCCCGTTCATGCGTGCACAAGATGGCTTCGAGTTCTCCAACAAAATCTGCTGCATCCAGCCCTTACAAAGACGGTCATGGGTACATCCACTCTGTTTCTGAAATACAGATACCTGCCAATCCAAAATCTGCTAGATACTTCGACTTCACCATTCAAGAAAACCAAGAAGACACGCGAGTGATCTGTTTCCTGAAACGAAGGGAGGAAGCCAAACTTCCTCAGCTCACAAAAAAGATATGGCGATGGCATAGAATACAAGATGAACAAGTACTCCAGAATTGAACAAGCTAAAAACTTAGCGTTTCAATGGAAAGCATCGAACACCGACCAAAGTGAAATCACACAAATTCTACAAAGTGCACCGAATGGTCAATCTGTAGGACTGAAAGCTAAAGTTTTATTCAAAGGAGATAAGGAAACTGTGTATTCAAAACACGCGAAAAAAAACCTCACCAAATGTAACATTGTTGTCGCTGACACTACTGGAGCGATAACTGTAACTCTATTGGAAAGTCAAATCGCCGAAGCTGAACAGCACAGCTGTTATAACTTCAAAGAACTTAAGTTGAATTGGTACAAAAAAAAATATCTCGGCTCTTCCACAAAAACAACGATTGAAAAGTGCGAAAAACATCTACATTCAGCCCAGTCTTTTCTTAGAAGAGCCTAAAAGTCGTCTACTTTTATGCGTCTCGTTTTTATACCAGACAGCTTTCACGTCTCAGATGTTAAATACGTCCAGCCGACTTTAATGTCTCTAGTATAAAAACGGCCAATGTTTTTAAATCCTTTCTAGCTGAACAAAAGGCTGCAATGCACCTTGGATTGTAATTTTGTATATATGAATTATTTATTATATTTTATCTTTTTAATATGGTATATTTTATAGTTATTAGTTGTAGCATCTATATTTTGTAATTGTTTTGAGGGCCACAGAGTCATCAGTGTCTTAGGGCCACTGTTAAGTGTTTTTACCCTCTCTAAACAAAGCCCACTATTATTATTATTATTATTATTATTATCATTATTATTATTATTATTATGATTATTGTGATTGCCATGGCGGCGGCTGTGTCTTTTAGCTGCTCCAGAAAGCTGAAAGTGAAATGGATGAACCAAATGAATAATGACGTTCTGGAGTGTAAGAGACGAGCGCAAGAGCTAGTTGCATCGGATAGCGCACCTTTGAATCGAAACGGCAGAAAGAAAGGCTACATTGAAGTCATGAAGCAGCTTTGGGAAGAGAAGGGATACGGACATCTTGCTCTTAAAGGTCAGAATTTACGTGATCAAGTGTCAAGGCTGGAGAAATGTAAAGAGGGTTTGGCCGATGAGAGCTGTGTGAACGGTGCAACAGTGATAAGTATAGATAAGTCTATATTACCAAGTGGAAATAGTGATACGGTATTTGTTGAAGGAAACAGAAATATTGAGAGAGAAGATGCTAATCAAGCGACGCCAAATTTACATATGTCCACAGTGCAACTCCCGGAGGAGCTGCAGTCTGATCAATCGAAGCGTGAAAGGTTATCTGACAAGGTGCCGGGATCACTGCCCAAATGCAATACGCTTCACACGCCATCTTCATTTGTCTGGGGCCAATACGATGAAGGAAGATCAATAATTGTTAATGTGTTGAACATTGAGAATGCCTATGATGAAATATCCAAATGGCGTAAAAACACATTTTCAGTCCCTTTCGGAAAAACAGGAAAAGAATTCATCAACACATTGAAAGAATTAATTAACAAATGGAACAATGGTTCAGAAATGGAATTCATTGCTCTTAAAGTCGCTATTGTTCTCCTTGCGCTTTGTCTACAAAAGCCTGGTCCTAAATTGAAATTGAAAGATCACCAGGATTGTTTGGCAAAGCGTCTTGTCTTATGGAAGAAAGGCGAGGTTGATACTATCCTCCGTGAAGGGCGCATGATACAGAGGCGTCTTAGAAACTCCCGTAGGGCGACAGACCCTCCAAATAGGGCAAAGATTTTTGCAAATCTTGTGATGACGGGACAAGTCAATTCGGCGTTACGATATCTAAGCAATGATCAAGGTGGAGGGATCTTACCCCTTTCTGATGACGTCATGGAGCAGTTGAAGGAAAAACACCCAGAGCCACAGGGTGTCCAATTAGGGTCTCTCCTGTTTGGCCCTATTAAGGACGTTCCCAACATTCTGTACTATGAGATCAATGAAGACATGGTCAGGGACGCCGCTCTAAGAACTAAAGGCTCGTGCGGGACAGAAGAATTCTCACTTGTAAATCCTTTAAGAGATCAGGAACAGAACTATGTGAAGCTATAGCCAGCATGACCAAATGCTTATGCACGGAGTATGTCGATCCTTGGGGCCTGGAAGCAATTTTAGCGAATTTACTTATTCCCCTCGACAAAGGGGAAGGAGCGGTGCGACCGATGGGAGTAGGCGAAGTGTTAAGGAGGATTATGGGAAAGTGTGTCACAAAGGTCACCAAACCGAATGTTATAGATGCGAGTGTGCGCTGGTCATAAGAGTGGGAGCGAGGCGGCCATTCACACAATGCGGGAACTTTTTGAACATGACAACACCCACGCCATTCTGCTTATAGACACGTCGAACGCCTTCAACTCCTTGAACAGAGCCGCCGCCCTGCATAATTTTAGAGTGTTATGCCCATCAATAGCGACCCACACAATGAATACTGACAGGGAGCCTGCACGTCTCTTCATTGTTGGCAGACAGGAACTGGGATCATCTTAAGGCACTACGCAGGGCAACTCACTTGCCATGAGCCTATATGCCATCAGCCTTCAGCCTCTCATAACGCAACTACAAGTCAAGAGCGCAACTAGCCAGTGTTGGTATGTGGATGTGCATAGAGCCTTTCGTAAGTTTGGAGAAGCACACAGAAATTATGCAGTGGAACTCGTAAACGAAAAAGAGAAGACTAAGTGCATGGAGTATTTCAGCCGTGAAGAGGAGAAGTTTACTGAAATCTGTTGACAAGTACTAGACTGGATCTCGAGATTCGAAGAAAACCTTTTGGCTGTTTCATGTCAAGTGAATTCCGAAGTAAACCCAGACGATTCCATTAGCTGTGCAGATGCGAAAACTTTCTCCAAAGCTTGGAAGATTTCAAGATGCTCAAGTCGCGCCAGCTCACACGCCAGTCGCACATCATCTCTGTTACTAGCCAGGGCAAAGGAAGCAGTTTGTGTTGCAGAACTTCAAGCAGAGCAAGCTATGTTAAAGAAGAGACAGGAATTGGAGGAGCAGAAGTTCCGCCTAAAGCAGGAAGAATTGTGTCTTGATTTAGAAGCCGAGATTGCAAAGACAGCGGCAAAAGAACAAGCCTTGGCAGCTATAGTAACACAGCCACCCCCTTCCATGAATCTAAAGCCCATGAAGTTGGAGAGGGAATTTAATGGCCAAGAAGAATTTAGTCCACCTCCGCGCGTGCAAAGCCATACAGCTTTAAATCCACTGGCACCCGAATGGCCATAAGCCAGAGCTGCTGTTTCCGTCCCAACGTTGCAACGAAAACAAAATGCTCTGCAGATCCAGCAGAATCAGATCGTGGAAATGCTGGCAGCCACTCAGAACAAAAGCAGACTTCCCCAGCCTCGTGTCCCAACATTTAATGGCAATCCTTTGGAGTATCACACCTTTGTTAATCCCTTCGAGAGCTTAATTGAATCAAGAACGTCTATTAGTACGGAAAGACTGTATTACTTAGAAAAGTACACTGCCGGGGATATAAAGGAGCTTATACGTTCGTGTCATAATTTGCCACCTGACGAAGGGTACTACGGAACCTGCAAGCTGATGAAGAAGAAATTTGGTGACGAGTTTAGAATTTCGTCTGCATATGAATCCAAAGCATTGAATTGGCCACCCATTAAGCCCGAGGATGGAACAGCTCTCAGTAGATTCTCTATCTACCTAGCTAGCTGTAGAAACGTGATGAAGGGCAGCCAGTATTCTTCCAAGTTCGATCAGCCGGACAAGATTCAGAGACTAGTCCTCAAGCTTCCATACAATATGAGAGAAAGATGGTGTTGGCTTGTAGATGACATCATGGAGCTGCAGAAAAGGCCAGTTAAGTTTGATGATGTCATCACCTTTGTTGACCGTGAGGCCAGAATAGCTACAAATCCTGTTTTTGGGAAAATTTCAGTGGACACCAAAGTGGTTACAGACGCCAATTTTGCAAGTGCTCCCAGCAGACCGTGCAGACACCTGATAAACTTAGCTTTGCCGCACATGTTGACACCACTCTCAACTCCAAGGCAGGCACAAAGTCAAGTACCACTTCCAATGATCCCATTGAGACCCCTTCTTTGGATGGTATCATGTGTCCCTTTCTGCAATTTCAGGCACGAGTTAGAAGTTTGCAGATCTTTAAGACGTTGCCCTTACCAGAAGCGCATTCAGTTCTTATCATCCAAAGGGCTCTGCTTTGGATGTTTGTCGCGAGAGCACCTGGCGAAAGTCTGCCCAGAAAGAAAATCCTGCAAGATAGATGGCTGTCCTAAAAAGCATCCGACCGTCCTGCACACACAACCTTGGGAAAGACCCAAAGAGGACACCTCAGTCGGAAGTGGAATTGGAGTTGCTGATGGCACATCACAAGTGCGCAACGGCATGGCATGTATTAACAATGCCTCCTGTAGCCTCACTGGGGCCGGATTTTCTCAGACAGGCATGGCTATTCTTCCAGTCAAAGTCAGACGTAGAGGAAGCGAGAAAGCAATCGCCATGTACGTCTTTCTAGACAACGGAAGCACTTCTACCTACTGCACAGAGGCTCTCATGAGGCAACTCGACATTAATGGTGCTAAGACAAAGATTTCCCTCACCACTCTAGAGAAGAAAGATAGCCTGGTTGACAGTTTTCTAGTGCATGACCTGGAGGTAACCGATTTAGATGAGAACTACATAGTAAACCTTCCCATCAGTGTTCGACCCCTTTGGTTTCGCTGCACCATTTGTTCTTACAGCCAAGAAAATTCTACAAGACCTTTGCAAGATGAAATTGGGCTGGGACAAGGAAATACCTCTAGAGTACAATGTACGTAGGCAAAAAATGGCTTATAGACCTTCCTATGCTGTCAAAGCTTGCGATCGACCGTTTTTTTAAACCACCCAACTTTGGGACCATTGCTTATAGCCAGTTGCACCATTTTTCAGACACTTCAGAGATTGGTTTTGGTTCAGTATCTTACCTGCGCCTGGTTGATATCAACGATAGAGTCCATTGCACCATCCTTCAAGGAAAGTCACAGCTCGCACCTTTGAAGAAATTTACTATTCCTCAATTAGAGCTTTCAGCAGCAACAGTGTCGATGCGGTCAGGCAAAGCCATAAAGAGAGAGCTAGAACTCCCGCTTACCGAGCCATCAGTTTTCTGGACGGATAGTACATGAGTGTTACGTTATGTGAACAATGAAGACAAGAGATTTCACACATTTGTAGTTAACCGCATTGCAATCATTCGGAATGGATCCGACCCTAACCAGTGGAGGTATGTGAGTGGAGAATCTAATCCAGGCGACGACCTCTCCAGAGGGCTATCAGCAGAGACACTGCTTCACCATGAACAATGGATAAAAGGGGCTGTTGAAAACTGGACCGAGAGTGTCACATGGATTTTTGCATGTTTCTTACCCCCACGAATTGAACTTTAAACTCTTGATGAAAACTCAAAAAAGGAAAATGAAAAGGAATGCGTGAAAGCTGTCTTGTATATTGTTATTCTGGAATACAGTCTTTATTCGAAGTTGTCCTGTTGTATACGTTTTATACAGGGGCCAGAATTTCTCTGGATGCGAATGGAGGTGTGGCCTCAAAACCCCGATCCAGAAGTGAAAGTAGAAGCCAATTCTTTTATGTCATCGGCAAAGGAGCCATTTGGTCCCTTAGCGAAGTATTTCCAGCATACCTGGTCCTGATACAGGCTGAAAAAATCAGTTGCCTGGTTCTTGCGTTACTGTGAGAAGTTACGAGCCACCAGCAAGGGTGAAAAACCAAGGAAGTCGCATGTAGGGATGATCTTGTCTATCTCCATTGAAGAAATGAGAGCAGCAGAGCTAGAAATCCTAAAAGCTATTCAACGCCATCATTTTCCTGAAGAAATGCACTCCCTCAAAAGGTCTGGAAGTACTGTAAAAAAGTCCACTTGCTTACGAAGCTTAGATCCAATACTGGTTGACGGCTTACTGCGTGTCAGAGGAAGACTTAGACTGGCCCAGGCATCTTTTGACAGTAAACATCAAATCATCCTTCCAAGGAATGATCACGTGTCCAACCTTTTGATAGAGCACTTTCACCTTATCTCTGGTCACTCTGGTAGAGAGTACGTTTTGAGTCTTTTGAGCGAACAATTTTGGTTAATCAAGGGAAGCTCTGCTGTGAGAAGAATCCTGTCTAAATGTGTTAGTTGCTGTCGCTGTCAGGCGCCAGTTCTCGAGCAGAAGATGGCTGACCTTCCTGAAGACTGTCTTACACCAGACCAGCCACCCTTCACATCAGTCGGCATTGATTGCTTTGGACCCTTTCATGTTTGACGTGCTCGAAGCCTTGTCAAGCGATATGGAATTATTTTTACATGTTTAGCTATTCGCGCAGTGCATATCGAAGTAGTTCATAGCTTGGAGATGGATTCTTTCCTACTGGCACTACGAAGATTTATCGTGAGGAGGGGCCAAGTGAAAGAGAGCCGTTCAGATAACAGTACTAATTTCACAGCTGGTGAAGGGGAGCTCCGATGATCCATAGGTGTTTGGAATCAAGAAAGGAATCATGAAAGCTTGCTCCAAAAGGACATCAAATGGACCTTTAACCCAGCTTACGGCTCGCATCACAGTGGTGTCTGGGAGAGATGTATTCAGACCACCCGGAAGATCTTAAATGCTCTCCTCAAGCAACAGACTCTCGACGACGAAGCGTTAGTCACTCTCATGTGCAAAGTTGAGTCAATCATCAATGGAAGGAAACACGGCTTATTTAATAGCAAAGGAGGAATTGCCCTTCAGCAAGTTTGAGTCCATTATTGCACTTCAAAGAAAAAATGGCCTAGAAATTAGCCCGACGTACGGAAACAACAAAGGATGCAACAATTTTGTTTCTCTTGTTAGCTCGGTTATAACGGAACAGTTAGCCAGTGAAATTAATGGGAAGAGGTATGTGAGCATCATGATTGACGGTGCAACAGATGCGAGTGGAAAAGAAAACAAGACCATCCACCGCAGATTTGTCAAGGATGGGGTGCCTACAAATCGACTTGTAGGACATAAGGAAGTGGCCCATGCACATGCACAAGGTAACCTTTTTGTATGTTAGACAATATTTAGAAATCCAATTTAAAATGTTGGGGCTAGCCCAGGATAAAGCTAAGAAAACCTATTGTGTATAGACCTATTGTGTTAGAGTATACTGTGCACCGTTACAGTAACTAAGTAAGACATGATTACAAAATTTTGGTGGGGTGAGCCAGGACAGACTGATAGGATACCCCATGTGCACGTAACGTGAATGTTTCCACGAATATAAATATTGTGTGAAAGTCATGATAGAGTGATTTTACTAAACCCACACAAAACACTATCTAACAATTTGTGTGTAAGAGTCAGAGCTAAACAAAAGGAATGAGTGGAATGGAATTAGTGCGTAATACTAACTAATAGTGTAGTTACTATTTCACGGGTTTAGTAAAATCACTCTAACAAACTAATTATTAAATGATTTAACGTTTAAGGTATCCTAGACACTGTGAATGGTGCATTTCAAGTGAGCGGCATTCATCAATGGAAAGAGAAACTGGTGGGAATGGGGGCAGATGGTGCTTCTGTTAACCTCGGAAAAAAAGGAGGTGTTGTAGCCTTGTTACGACAAGAAGTTCCTCACCTTATCGACTTCCATTGCCTTCCGCATCGTCTCGAACTAGCCTTACTGAAAATGCAGAGAAGTTGCAAGCTTGTTGAAACCATCTATGAAGTTTTTCAACTAATATGGAAGACTTACCACTATAGTCCCAAGAGTACGCATGAGCTGCAGGCCGTGGGAACCAAGCTTGGCATGAATGTTCTAAAGCCCACTCAAGTTAGTGGAACAAGGTGGCTTCCCCATATCAGTCGAGCCCTGAAAGTAATGATTGAACCAGGGAAAGAGGGATCTGGCCAATACGCTGCAGTGCTGTCGCACATGGACCACCTTAGTGCAGCGTCAAAGAATACAGATGTCAAAGGGCGGGCCAAATATGTTGCCAAGAAAATGAGGAGCATTCAGTTTTCTGCTTTCTGTCACTTTTTGGCAGACATGTTCGAGATCATAGCTAAGTTAAGTCTGAAGGTGCAACACAATGATCTCATCCTTCCGGTGGCAGTGTCGCTTCTTCATGAAACAGTGGCCAACATTGAAGCCTTGAAGATCCGTCCCGTACCAAATGGACATTTGGCACGGTTTATGAATATGCTTCAGCATTCTGGAGTCAAGGATGAGCTTCGATTTCAAGGCATTACACTGAGAGGGTCGCTCGATGGCAAACCAAAGAGAGGAGATGTACGCACTGGCAGCTTTCAGTCAAGAGTGAACGAAGCCATTGGGTTGTGCCTGACTGGGCTTGAAGAGAGGTTTGGTTCGCTGATGAATTCAGCCTCCAACTCGGAATCCACCACAAAGTATGGGACAGCGGATGTCATCAACGATCTCCTTGTCTTCAATGTTGATGCTTGGCCAAAAAGCACAAAGGAACTGGTCGATTTTGGCAACGAGAAAATTGAACGCCTTGTCGACTGGTTTCAACCATTACAGCAGAAGGCTGGATGTGATGTTTCTTCCATTCCCGAAGAGTGGTTCTCTCTTAAGGTTCTCGTCAATACTAGCTTTAGAGACAAGGACTATGCCAGTTTGTGGGAGACCCTTCTCATCAAGACGCCCTACAAGGATGACTTCAAAAATGTTCTCCATCGTGTGGAAATCCTCCTTGTTCAGCCAATTTCTGCTGCGCAGTGTGAAAGGGCAATTTCAGCCCAAAACCAAATCAAGAGCAGCGTACGAGTTAACCTCACCGTGTCTACGTTGGAAGAGTTGATTCGCATTTCAGCAGAGGGGCCTCCAGCAGCCGAATTTGACCCCACACCTAGCGTCAATAAATGGTTGGCAAGGAACAGGGATACAGGCAAAAGGCTGAGGAGGCCACATTTCCAGAGGTCTTCACTGAAGTGAAGCAGATCCGTGGAACTCTGTATCCCAACGGGGATACCAATTGACTGTAACATGCCGCTTTTTTACATTAGCTTGTTAACTAAGTAATCAAACCCTTCCATTTGGCGACCAAAATTTTCAGGTTAGTCGCCAGTTGGCTCCCTTAGAAAAAAGTTAAATTCGAACCCTGACTTGTTATGTATTTTATCATCACTTTATGGCCTAGAATCCATTAAGTAAAGCCATTTAGATCTAATGTCAGTAATGTATTTAAGTGTTTCGTGCACGTCAACACTTAGGGGCCGGTGTAGATCACAACGCCTTACATTCTTTTTCGTTTGTTTATTGTTCTTGTGCAAGAGTGCTAATTGTAGTAAAATTTTGTGTGCGCTTTCTTTGTGTCATTGCGTAATGTTGCGTAACGTAGCATGTATTTAACCGTATTGTTCATCGTAGTTTGGTGCAGTTTTGCAGTGTAGTTTCGTCAAGTGTAATTTCGTATATTTGTTCTTTTTGCTTCGTGCAGTTTGTTTGCCACTAGGCAGGATCTATAACATTGCAACAAATGTAAGTTTTGTATCATGTAGTTTTCTTTGCTGTTTTCGTTGTAGCTTTCCTTGTGTATTTAGTCTAGTTTATATTGTAATAGTTTTCGTTCGCTGTTTTATTTGCAGTTTTAACCGTACTGTGTCGTTTTGTTCCACATTGAAAATTGCGCTAGAATTAGTTAATATTAATTACCAGTGGCAGTTACAAGCAGTATCCCTGCCACTTGATCATGAGCAGAGGCTTTCCATGACAGACCTTTTTTGCAATGATCCACTTCACTTCATGCTCATTGTCATATAAACATGCTAAACTCCAAATAAATATGGTGTATCTACTTCTGTTCTATATGGCCATTGTCATATAATCATGCTAAACTCCAGATAAATAGCCCGCAATAAATAAATACAGCCTGTTTTCAACCCTTAAATTTGCAGTGTTCTCTGAAAAAAATTGGCATGCTCAACTTTTCATTTTGTATGGTATGATGCACCGCGCGCTTTAGAAATATATTTCAATGTAACCATATCATTACTGATAACAACTTGCTCAGTGTCATCCGCAAATTTTACTACAAGAAATAGAAAGCATTCTAGCTTCTCGTTTCTCGTGTCCATTGCATAGCTGTAGCACGTGAGTTCAGGTAAGGAAATAACTTGCATATGTCACAGCATTGACGTTTAATGTTTCCTTCTATTCATTTAGGTGCATACCAATTTCAATGTCAGTTATCCATTAAAATCAAAAGATTTAGCCATCTTTGTATTCCTTGATTCATTACAGAAACAGTTTGCAAACCGGTCTGATGAGTTCTGATTTTAAAGGGTAGGCATCAGGGTTGTGATGCTTGTAGTGGCACCTGTGATCCGCCCTTTTTTAAGTCATGTATGCGTCCCGGATTTCTGCTCATGCGCGCTAGTTTTGTTATGTTATTTACTACGCGGTCCGATGCTAGAGCCCGGAAAGGTGTAAGTTTTTACCTTTTTGCTTGCCATTTTCCAGTTTTTCTGTATACCAACTGTACATCTGTATATCTAGTTTGACAGATTCACTTCTTTAGCGATTTGGAGATGTATTACGTGTGTGGATTTGTGATTAAAGCTATGGTAATCTGTTCAAGTCAAATGGGTGTTTTGGATTTCGGACCCGCGCTGGCATAGTCAAAGCCTTTGGTTGAAAGGAACGTTAGTTTAGTCAAGTTTATTGTCGACTGCTGCAACCTGGATCAGTTTGCTGGTAGACCTACCCGTGTTCGTAAGATGACCGATAGAGGTCATGAGTTTACAGTACATCTAAAGAGAAAAGCGGCCTTGAAAGGAAAGGAAGAATTTCGTCTCCAGCTCGTATCCTTCGAGAAATCAATTTATGATATTGGCAACCCTGATGTTATACAGAGCGAATTACAAAAGCTTAAAAGCCTTGCAGACAATGCAATACAAGGATTTATCGACTGGATGAACCTAATGGTGGAAGCAGAGGAGATAAATGAAATAACTCGGCAGCAATACGAGCTTCAAGGCTCCTGGGAGAAAGTTCGTGCCACGGCGCTTAGTCGCCTGGAATTTTTGGAAGTAAAGGAGGAAATTAAATCAAACTTGTCTTACAGAACCCGGATCTCTTCTTCGTCCAGCGTAAGCAAATTACTAGGCCTTAAGGCCAAAAGAGCTGCTCTAGAACAAAAGATAATATTTGCTGACACGATCAAAGAACAAGAGAAAACCCTCGCTAAGCTAAAGCTTCAACAAGAACTAAGTGAGACACTCGCCGAAGAAGCAGTTTATCAAGTAGCTTTAAATGCGGGAGATGAAAACGATGAAGACGAGTCGCTTTCACAGGTGGCACCCAAGGGCTTTGGAAGCATCATACACAATTTTTTCTACAAACAAAAACCTTCTGCTTCTGTTTCGTATCATGTGACAAATTCCTCAGCAAGTGTCACGCAAACGTCAAGTTCTGTCAAACAATCTACATTACTCGAAAAGCAGCCACAAGTTTTCTCCTTCAATACAGTCCCCGACACGTGTCACGCAGTCATCAAGTTTTGTAACACAGTCATCAACGTCTGTCACGCAGCCATCAAGTCATGTAACACAATCTTCGTCACCTGTCACGCAGTCTTCTAGTTTCCTCACACGGTCTTCAGCACCTATTTCAGTTTCTGTAACACAGACTTCAGCACTTAGTGTGCAGCCATTAGTTTCTTTAGTTCCTGCCGTCACGCAGTCTTCAGTTTCTGTATCACAGTCTTTACCCCCAGTGACTCATCACTCTGCGTATCTCGGAGGTTACACTTCATCGACACCCATGACACCTCACAGTGCATATCTGACTACTTCACTCCAACAAGGCTTGGTAACCAGCCCTGTCATGTATCAACAGGCCTACCAGGATTTCACTCCCCAAAGCCTTTATGGAAGCCCTCCACTTTACGTTCTGCTTCAATCGCAGCCCCCACAGCCTAGTCCTATGTAGGTTTTGCCATCACCAGATAATACTCAGCAAATCACGGAAGCCTTAGCTGAGGTCACCCAACTCCAACGCTTACCCCAAGCGAAACTGGATGCCTTCAGGGGAGAAGAGGAAGACAAGACAAAATTCTTTCTATGGGAGTCCGCGTTTGATGCTCTCATAGACTTGGTACCAGTAGCCCCACGGCAGAAATTGCACCTTCCATTCCAGCATTTAGAAGGCAGAGCTAAGAAGGTAGTTGAATAGCTTCAATTCATGATTGACGACCCTGAAAAGGCCTACAAAGAATCGAGAAAAAGATTGACTGACGGAGAACGTAGTCCAACAAAGAGTATCTTAAAAGACTCTAAGTCAACAGCCACTCCTGATAGTCTTGGTACAGCTTCAACTGTCAATACAGCATTCTGCCCCTATCACAGAACTAAGTCTCATGACCTGGAAGATTGCCAGAAATTTCGTGAGCTCGATTTCAGTGAGTGAAAAGACTTCCTGTTTAAAAAGGGATTCTGCTTTAACTGCGCAAACTCAAACAAGCATATCAGCAAACATTGTGATAAAGGTCGCCCTCAATGCAAAATATGCGGAAGGAGTCATGTCACAGCCCTTCACGACCCGTCGAGGCCAGAAAACAACTCCAGCCAAGCTTCATCCGCCTGTACTCGAGTGTGCAAAGACGGACCCCGTCGTTCCTGTGCTAGGATTATTTTGTTGAAAGTATCGGACCAGTCAGACCCTCTTAAGGAAACCTTAACGTACGCTGTCCTGGATGACCAATCAACAGACGTGTTCATCACAGATGCCCTCCAAAGCAAATTAAATCTAAGTGGCGCAGAAGTTAACCTTTAAGTAAACACGATTGTGGACACCAACACTGTCAGAATGCGAAGAGTCCCTGGCCTTCATATCCAAGATATTAACGGCGAATATTCACCCATTAAAGTTCCTTATGCCTATGCTCAACCGAAGATCCCAGCAACACACAGTGACATTGCCACTCCTGACATAGTGAGACAGTGGGATCACTTGAAGGATGTTGCCGATGAGGTACATTACAGGTCTGACATAGACATCGGCATGCTCATTGGAAGAAATGTACCTACCGCCTTCCAACCCCTGAAAGTTATTTATAGCGAAGCAGACGAGCCTTGGGCAGAGAAATACAAATTTGGATGGACAATCATTGGTCCTGTGTGCTTGGATAAAGCGAAACCCCAACAATGTAGTAGCGTATCAGTCAATCGCGTTACCGTTCAAAGAGAAGAACTACTGGACTCGTGTATTCTGAACGTCCCTCAAGCCTCTAATCCTCTCCATCAGCAAGATTCTGTAGCCGTTCTCGTCAATAAGCTGCGGTCGAAGGATGTCACCAGCCCCCAAATAATTCGCGAGATGATGGAACTGTACTATACTGAACTGAATCACTCTCGCAAAATTTGTGCAAACGAGCAAGTTGAGGTGATTGAAGACAAACGTTTCTTCCAAATTATGACTGCAGAAATGCACAAGAATCAATTAGGAAACTGGGAGGCACCACTTCCGTTCAAGACAGATGAAGTCAACCTTCCAGATAACAGATAACAGTGCCTAAGAAGAGTATCGCTGAAAAGAAAGTTATGTAAAGACGAGAGAGCAAGAGAGAGTTACATAGCCTTTATGCAGAAGATATTAGAACATCAACACGCAAGTCGTGTCCCAGACAACGAACTGACGCCAACGCCTGGTAAAGTGTGGTACCTCCCACATTTTTACGTGTACCATCCCAAGAAACTCAATCAAGTACGTGTAGTCTTCGATTGTAGCGCCCTTTACAACAGCCAGTCCTTAAACAAGAACCTTTTACAAGGACCAGACCAGCTGAACTCTCTCATCAGGATATTAACCAGATTCTGCAAGGAAGGTGTAGCACTCACGTGTGATATAGAACAAATGCTCCATAGCTTTCACGTTACACCAAGCCACAGAGACTTCCTCTGCTTTTTGTGGTTTGAGAATAATGACTTGGATGATGCCATCTCAGAATTTCGTATGAATGTACATCTGTTTGGGGCGGTGTCATCTCCTGCCGTAGCCAACTATAGTCTTCACAAGACAGCAGAAACTGGACGTGCCAAGTTCGGTGACAAGGCAGCTGATTTTCTGTGCAGAAACTTTTATGTGGACGACGGCCTTACTTCGGTCCCTGCTATTTCAGAAGCCATAGAATTGATTGAGGACAGTCAGGCTCTCTGTGCGTCAGCGAAGTTACGACTTCACAAGTTCGCCAGCAACTGAAAAGATGTCTTAGAGGCCCTTCCAAAAGACAATCGTGCAAACGACCTCAAAGATCTTGACCTTTGCCACGATGCTCTACCAGTCCAGAGATCTCTAGGCACTTATTGTGCCGTATCGTCGTATCAGTCAATGTAACGAAGATGTTGCAGAGTGAACTCGATTACGAGAATTTACGATCTGTTTATTACACATACTCTGAGGTAGTCATCGGCTATATAAGTAATGAAGCTCGTCGTTTTCGCGTATATGTCGGAAACAGAGTACAGCACATCCATGATCGTAGCAACCCGGAACAGTGGCATCACGTGCCAGGAAAAGTTAACCCTGTGGACGAAGCGTCTCATTCACTCACTGCCAGTCAGTTACTTAACAACAAGAGATGGCTCTCAGGGCCAGACTTTCTCTGGGAAAGCGATGTACCACTTCTTAACAAGAAAAACACAGCTCAGCTCTCTTCTGATTATGTTGAAGTGAAGACAAACACCTGCTTCTTGACGCACTCTACCACTAGAGAATATCCTGGTTTACTTCTTTCATATCTGAATCGCGTTTCTTCCTGGCACAAAGCAAAAACGACAGTCGCCTGGATGAGAAGAGGAATAAAGAATCTCCAGTCTGTAATAGCAGCACGTAAAGAAGAGATTCATTCTGCAAAGGACTTAGGAAGATCATGCAATGAACAGGGAAAGCAGTTGTGCTTACCTCTCTCAGTTGAAGAATTGGTCCACTCCGAGAAGTTTATTTTGCGTTGCCTCCAATGCCAGCATTTTAGCCATGAGATGGAAACACTAACAAACCTTAAAGGTAATTTGGAGAAATTCCAAGAACGAGACTCTGCGCGCTGCAGAAACGACACTTTGAAGAAGACGAGCTCTCTCTATAAATTAGATCCCTTTGTTGACAAAAACAGACTGCTTAGGATTGGTGGTCGTATCTGACGAGCAGATGTTCCCCTTGAAGTTAAACACCCATTGATCTTGCCTAAGAAGACTCACATCTCAGACTTGATTGTAAGATACTTTCACGAATCGGTTGGCCACCATCAAGGACGTGGAGTCACCCACAACACAATCAGGCAAGCTGGGTACTGGATAGTAGACAGACGCTCTACTGTGGCCAGAACTATCTCTAAGTGTGTCACTTGCTGTCGATTTTGTGGCTAACTGCAAACACAGAAAATGTCCGATCTACCGGAAGAGCGTGTTACACAGGCTACTCCTTTCCACTACTCAGACATGGATGTGTTCGGTCCGTTTTACGTCAAAGAAGGACGCAAGACACTAAAGTGTTATGGCTTGATCTTCACGTGTCTGGCGTCACGCGCTGTTCATCTTGAGACTCTCAATACAATGGAAACAGATTCTTTCATTAGTGCCTTATGCCGGCAACGCTTATCAACAGACAAGGAAAGGTACGCGAACTACGTTCGGACCAAGGGACAAATTTCGTTGGAGCTAGGAATGAACTCACCGATGCCTTACAAGAACTCAACCGTGATTGTGTTAAGGGGTTCCTCTTAACAAAGGAATGTGATTGGATCGACTTCAACCTGAACGTACCCGTGGCATCTCATATGGGAGGCTCTTGGGAGAGACTCATCAGAACAGTCAGATCAGTTCTTTCAGTTTTGCTCCAAGAGCATGGAAGTCAGTTAGATGATGAAGCATTACGCACTTTAATGACAGAAGCAGAAAATGTGATTAGCAGCCGCCCACTCACTGTTGAAAACCTATCTGACCACGAGTCTCCGGATCCCTTAACTCTTAATCATCTACTAACTTCAAAGACAGAGGTTGTACTGCCCCCACCTGGTTGTTTTGAACGGTTGGACTTATACTCAAGAAAGAGGTGGTGCCGTCTACAGTTCTTGGCCAATCAGTTTTAGATAAGGTGGCGCTCAGAATATTCCTCACAGTTTCAGCAGAGACAAAGATGGAATACACCCCAACGGGACACTACAGTGGGAGATATAGTCCTACTTCAGGACGACGACTTGCCAAGAAACCAGTGGCCACTTACACGTGTGACCAAGGTCTTCCCTAGCAAAGACAATCATATTCACAAGGTCCAACTCCTATTAACACGAGAAGGAAGACAGAAGTTTTTGGAACGACAAATCCACAAAACGATTTTGTTACTTGCTCAAGAGGCCGCAGACCAGGATGTCATCCCCGCCCGAGGAGCCAGTATCAAGGACAATTAGATTTCCATCTGAACTGTGTTAAGTAAATGATTTCCATTTAGGAGAGCCATGTAGCGGCACCCATGTTCCTCCCTTTTTTACGTCATGTATGCGTTGCGGATTTCTGCTCATGCACGCTAGTTTTGTTATGTTATTGACCACGCGGTCCGATGCTAGAGCCTGGAAAGGCGTAAGTTTTTACCTTTCTGCTTGCCGTTTTCCAGTTTTTCTGTATAACAACTGTACATCTGTATATCTAGTTTGACAGATTCACTTCTTTAGCGATTTGGAGATGTATTACGCATGTGGATTTGTGATTAAAGCTATGATAATCTGTTCAAGTCAAATGGGTGTTTTGGATTTCGGACCCGCGCTGGCATAATGCTGATGTAAATATCAAATATGGGGGGTACTGGGACTAAGACAGCCTTTACCTTAGTACAATATAGCTCGGCTAACAAACAGTCTTTAGTAGATGCATTTACTAGTTTTCCCACCCTACCCACCCTAGGTAGTTTTTGGTAGTATATTCATTTCCTTTATGTCTGACAGTCTTGCTGTTTTTACAACTTATGTATACATTTGTTGATTACATTTGAGTGTAACTAGTCTTATTACCTGTTTCATTTTAATATTGTACCTATATTTGAGTGATTACCTATTTACATGCTGTAATAAAGGCTGTCATAGTCCAAATCCTGGCTGTGTCCTGGTTGGCATTTAGGTCATGTAATAGTGAAATTGGAGGTCATTTGCTTTAGTTTTGTTCACTGTACAGTAGTTGTTGTATTGTTCATTTTGATATCAAGCAGCAAAACAAGTTGTAAGGTTATCATAAGAAATCTGTCAATGATCCTGTAGTGTCTAATATTGCATTATGAGTATGCGCACTGGGTTGTTATTACGAGCAGGATTAGAGAACTAGAAGTTTCCATTAAAAGAGTTCAGAATTATAATCGAGGATTCCATAACTGGGGACAAGGATATCCCAAACGAGCTCACCTACAACTACAACTCAAGTTACAGTCATTTCAAAACAACTACATCGGATAAACAATGGAAAAAACAACATTCTTCTCACCACCACGTGCGCTGGCCGCCATCTTGAAACTGTTTTGAGGTGAAAATCCAGACTTCTCGACTCAGTTGAACAATAATATACACTCGCCACAGAAGATTCCCTGGAAAATTGCATCACAAGATTACACCGAACGATTACACAACTGCTGAAGCGAAATGGCAAATATTCTACCTCCATTTCCTCCATTCTCCGTACATGAAGACGACGCTTCAGTCGGTCCGCGTTGGAAAAAATGGTTGAAGCGTTTTGAAATGTATCTCGCTGCTCATGAGGTGAAAGATCTGACACGCAAGAGAGCGCTGCTACTATACTCCACTGGTGAGGAAGTCGCCGACATTTTCGAAACACTTCCAGACCAGGGCGAAGAGAAAGAATACGACAAAGCCGTAACTGCTTTGAATGCCTACTTCCAGCTCAAAGTAAACAAGATGTACGAAATTTACATGTTCAGAAATGCTACCCAGAATCCTGGTGAATTGCTAGATTCCTACTGCACACGGCTCAGACGCCTGGCTCAAACCTGTGAGTTTGCCAATGAAGACAAAGAAATCAAATCACACATAGTCGTCTCTTGTTCATCTTCATGACTGCGGCGAAGAGCTCTACGAGAAGATATGAATCTCAAAGACTTGCTTGCCTATGGCCGGGGTCTAGAAATGTCTGACAAACAAGCGAAAGGTATTGAGGAGCACGAAAAGTTAGCCAAAGTATCGCCAGTCCAGACAGAAAAGCGAACGTCCAAAAACAAGAAATGCTACAGATGTGGCGAACACTACCCTCATAAAGGGCGACCTTGTCCAGCCCTGAAAGAAACGTGCAAGCACTGTCACAAAAAGGGTCATTTCGCTACAGTGTGCAGAAGTAGATTAACAGCCAAGAAAGCCAACACTGTGGGTGAAGGAGATAGTGATGAGTCCACTGATGAAGAATACACCTACCGTATCACTCTCCACTCCGTGCATGACAAGGCAGAACCATTAACTGAAGTTATCATTGGAGAAAAGACAGTGAAATGTCTTATCGACTCAGGAACAGGAGTGAATGTTATTGACACGTATACTTTCAATCAGATGGAGAATATTCACATTTCACCAATTTAAAAGAAGATCTATGGCTACAGATCTTCCGAGCCTTTGCCAGTCGTTGGAACGTTCGAAGCCATCATCTAGTCGGGAGTGACCAACAAATTCAAGGTCGCACAATTCTGTGTCGTTGACGGACAGGATGGAAACCTGATAGCCTATGAGACAGCAACTGATCTCAGGCTGCTGCGCATAGTAAACAGTGTATCAGCACCCCAGGTGGATGACATCGTGGGGGAATACAAAGATTGCTTTGAGGGGCTGGGGAAGATGAAAGATAAAGCTGCAAAATTACATGCCAATAGTAGTGCAAGACCACTTGCTCAGAAGTTCCGTAGACTACCATTTCACGTTCGCGAACAAGTCGAGGCTGAGCTCAAGAATCTAGAGGAACTTGACATAATAGAACGAGCTGAAGGACTGACTCCCTGGGTGTCCCCGATAGTGGTAGTTCCAAAGAAGACAGGAATACGGATATGCGTCGATATGAGAGCAGCCAATCAGGCTATAGAACGGGAACGACACCCAGTACCTACTGTAGAAGACCTGATTGTTGATCTGAATGGATCCACTGTGTTCAGCAAGATAGACTTAAACCAAGGCTATCACCAACTTGAGCTGGAAGAAAATTCTCGAGGCATTACTTTTGCCACTCACTTTGGTTTCACTCATCGCAGAATAACTCCTATGTGGCCCAGAGCAAATGGGGAGGCGGAGAGACTGATGAGAACACTAGAGAAGGCAATTAGGACAGCTGTCATAGAAGGCAAAAACTGGAGGCAAGAGCTGTTCACCTTTCTTCGGCAGTACAGGGCAACCCCCCACAGCACCACAGGAAAGTCTCCATCTGAATTGTTGAATGGACGAAAACTCAAGTCCACACTACCTCAGATACAACACGATCTGGCACCTCAAGAGGTTAGACAAACTGATGCCAAGAGAAAGACAGAGATGAAAGAATATGCGGATAGGTGCAGCCATGCCAAAAACACAGACCTAAGTGTTGGTGACAGAACAGCCCAAGCAGAACAAGATGTCCACACCATTTAAACCTGAGCCACTTGAGATAAAAGACAAGAAAGGAAGCATGATTACGACCCAAAACGCAGAACGCACTGTAACCAGAAATGCGTCATTCTTCAAAAAGCTGCCTTCCAGCGTACCAGTACAACTCACTCCAAGTGACGAGGAAGAAAAATTTACACCCAGCATTGAGACAGCTGAAGCAGCTGATGTAGCTGAAGGATATCATGAAGCAGATGAAGCAGTTGAGGATGAACCAGAAGCACCACTTGCACTTCGCAGATTGGAAAGAACAAGAAGGGTGCCTGAACATTTCAAGGACTATGTAACTTGAACATTATTTGGACAGATAGTCTAAGGAAACGATACGTTGAGTTTTATTTTTGTTCATAGTGACATTTTCATAGTGACGTTTACCCTTCTCATTCTTAGAGGAAGGGAGAGATGTAGTGTCTTATATTGCATTACAAGTATGCGCACTGGGTTGTTATTACGAGCAGGATTAGAGAAGTAGAAGTTTCCATTAAAAGAGTTCAGAATTATAACCGAGGGTTCCATAGATCCGTGAAA